CTTGGTGCATGGGTCGATGCTCAACCACTGAGCCACACCAGCCATGTAGTCTTAGACAGCCATCCTGCTACCTAGTGTGAGCAGGTGTTCTACACTTTCCTGTTCATTACCTGTCCCGGAGCTGGAATCAGGAGTTTTCTCCAAGAAGCGTTGTTTTCTTTAAGTGGGGGATGGTAGTACTCTTATGCCCCTTGCTATTGGGGTGGTCATTGTCCCTAGGCCTCTTCTGAGAATAGATAAAATAATTCACGTGTTCAAGTTAATATAGCCAATGCAGATTCAAGACTTCAGGGTTTTTTTACCCAACTTATTCTCAGTTACATTTTTTTTCCTGTCACACTGACAATCCTGATTCTGAAAGACATAAGAAATGATAAAATTATAATATCTCATTAAATTTTTTGTTTTATCCACATTACACACAGAAGAGTCTCAGGATAATAATGCTAATATTACCAGCACCCATTATAAAAACTGAAAGCAGTTTTTAAAAATTGGGGGGCAAATGTGCTCTCCTTCCCATTATTTTGGGTTGTATTATAGCTATACTATCAGAGCATATAGTCATTATATACCCCCTCCCTTTTATTTTTTATTTCTCACCCGAGGATATTTTTCCATTTATCATTAGATAGAGTGGGAGGGAGGGAGAGAGAGAGAGAAAAACATCAATGTGATAGAACCACATCGACTGGCTGCCTCCCGCACGACCTGACCAGGGCTGGGGACGAACCAAAACCGAGGTACGTGCCCTTGACCGGAATCGCACCTGAAACTCTTTGGTCTATGGGCCGATGCTCTAACCGCTGAGACATACCGGCCAGGACTATACCCTCTCCCTTTTAACATTCACTCTGTCTTAGCTCTCAAATCTGTAGATACGTAATACTCACCATTAGAACTTAGGTAAACGTCTCTCTAGTTGTTTGATATCTAAGCTTATTCTGTAATAGATACAGAAAGGGCTAGGGGAACAGTATTTCCCACATACTTACCTGTGGTTCACAGTCTGTTTACTGTTACACATTATAGTTGAATTGTGGTTTTCATTATTGCCCTGTCGCTTGTTTGGTTTATTTGTCAAGAACGCTTATGGTTTGTATGTTGGGTCTTCTTTGTCTCTCTTAAGTATGTGTCATTTTCTCCTGAATCCTTTTCACTTTTTTCTTTCTTTTTGAGTTTGAAAACGTTCCTCCATTTACATCCTGCTGCTCTTAAGGCATCGTGTGCTGTGTCCACTCACTCGTGTTCTTTCTGCTGGAGTTTTGGTTTCTCGGGATTTCCCCCTTATATTACTAAGTCCTTCCTGAGTTCTGCGTTGGCGAAATCGTAACATTGGTTCCTCATGCGTTGTGCCATCTTCTCAGTGTCGCTCAGTTTATTTCTGAGGTAGTGGACTGTGGACTTTGTTTCATGAGCAAGCTCCCAGCTTATATAGAGGTGTTCTTCACCTCCTTGCCTCCTTGTCCTTATGATAATTTTGTATGGGGTTTAACAAGAAAATTTCTCATATTTAAGTGCAATTCATTTTCTCAAGCTTTTAGCAGGCAGCATGGTTTCTTCAGATGGTGATAAAATATCGGCTGGCTTTCTGACACTTCGGGGCTCCCCCCCTCTTTGGTCTAGACTTGCTCTTGCCTTTGTCTGTACTGACTCCATCCGCACTCATTTTTCTTCCACTCCCCAGCGTTTCTTCAGTGTGCGGCCCCTTCAGAAGGGAAGCCCGTGGGTCGGTTCGAGAGTTCACGGTTGATGCAGCTCGTTCGGAAGGTCGCCCCCATCCTCACCCCCGTGGGAGCGGAACAGCCGGCGCCTTTCGGCTGGTTCCCAGGTGCCCTGCTTTGCCTCCAGTGAACCCTTTCTAACTATTGGGGGGTCTCCTGTTCCCAGGGCTTTCAGTCACCCTGTCGTGTCGCTTCCTTCGGCTTCCCCTCGCTATTCCCACCTGTACTTGGGGCTCGAGGGGAGTTGACATTCGGGAGATAAAGATTTCACATGAACTGAAATGGAAAACGAGACCATCCTCAAAGGATAAGTGAAGAAAAGGCGAAAACAGCTTACAAAGTGTGGGAGACAGACGAAGGAATGAATCCAGGAAGGTAGTGTGCAAGCTTTCCGTGCACAAAGCTCGACGACTCCAAGGAGCTTTGTTTTCTTAGAAATGTTTTGCTGCATCTTTTATTTCACTACTTGGTGGCTGTATCTGTTTTCCTGTGGGGATTCTGGGGACCCCACAGCGATGCTTCCGCTCCCCTGTCATCCTCCCAGTCGCGGTGGAATCGAGAGCAGACATCCACGCAGGGAAAAATAAGGACGGTCTAGAGCGAAATCCCAATAGTAAACGTATATACAAACATTGAGTGATTAGAGGGGGAAGAATGTATTGACAGAGCAGGGAAGCGGATTTGGTCAGTGTGTAGTAATTTTATAGTAATAGGAAACGATATAGACACATCTGTGGAGTGACTTCAGTATATAGTTTCTAAGTGGTGGAATGTGGAGTGTGTTCCTTTCTTCCTTTCTTGTCGCATTCCAGACGCACGCAGTAGATATTTCCCCCTCGTCCTGCTTACCCAGAAGCTCGGCGCTGCGGGTCAGGGAAACAGGAAAAGGGCCTTGGCAATCCTGCCCTCACCCGAGAGCCCGCGTTCAGTCCGTCCACGTGTTCGCGCTCATGTGCCACGGTTTCCGAGGAGCCGTCTCGAAAGCCTGACCTAGAATGTCTCAAGTGAGCTGCCGTTGACAGCAAATTCTAGTTCAGATCATACAGTGTAGTAAACACTATTCGTTGTTTCTATTCTCCTCCCAAATTTATATTGTTTGACATTAAAAATCGGTGCCGAGCTCCTGCCTTGTACCAAGGTGCATGTGCATGTTCAAGGGGCGCAGGAGGGGCCTCTGGTCCCCGGGCTGGGACCTCTCGCCCAGGGGTGCTCGCTGTGTCCATCAGTGTTGGCGTCAGGGCAGAGCACAGCTGCTCCGGCAGGTGTGTTCGGTCATGCCAACATGTTTTTAGAATCACATCAACTTCACCCTTAAAACTTGATGCTTACAAAATTCTTCCAAAAGACATGCAAACTTTAAAATAAATACATAAAGACCTGCCCTCTTTCTTCTTTATGTCTTAGTTTTTAGAGAAAGAAAGGGAGAGAAAGAGAGAAACACAGATCGGTTGCCTCCCACACGCACCCTGACTGGGAACCGAACCCTCCACCCCTTGGTGTACGGGTGACGCTTCTACTCACTGAGCGACACTGGCCAGGGCAAGACATGCACGCTCTTGACGCTCTGCCAGCCGCCAAGGCCGAGCAGGGGTGAGCCTGGGGCGTGGGTTCACTGCCGCAGCTATGGCCCGGGCCTTCCTCTGGCATCCTGGTTTGTTATTCTTTCCTGTGCCATCTTAATTGAATATTACTTTATAGAAGAGCCTTCTTACGGCATTAACATAAAAACAGTCAGGTTCCTTTCCAATTAAGTCACTGCAAGCAAAGATGACTGCGTTTTAAATGCACTTGCTGTTGAAATAAATGTTACCATAAATCCCTTTATCAATAGATAGCCTTTTATGTAAAACAAATAAGAACTTGCCAATTTATATTTCTGTAAATTAGGAATTTTATAGATTAGGTTTGGTTAAAGTGAAGAAATCCAGAACATGGATAGTTAGTTGTTCAACAGGCCCACGCTCCATCAGACAATTGTGTGTAAACACGCGTTGTGCTATTTCTGAAACAGCACACGCTGTCTTTCTTTTTCTCTCCATCTTTTTAAATAGCCTTTTAGCACCAGGTAATAAAGCTTTCGAATGCGGAGACTGTGTCTTTTATATCTTTGTATACCCAGCAAGTTGTTACCAAGGATTTAGTGATGGTGACAGTGCTGTTGGTGAAAGACAAGAAAAGGACTTCCCAATTTGTCCTATTTCAGGATCACACGTCAATGTTGTTGGATATGTTCAATCAGTTAGTTACTGTGTGTAAGACCTGGGAAAACTAAAAACTCAGTAGTAATCTGGGTTCTTGAGAGATAATCTCATTAGGAAGATTAGAAATATAGCCCTGGCTGGGTGGTTTAGTTGGTTGGACAGTTGTCCTGGGCACCAAAAAGGTTGCAGGTTTGATACCCGGTCAGGACACATACCCAGATTGCGAGTTCGGTCCCCAGTCGGGTGCATACGGGAGGCAACTGATTGATGTTTCTCTCTCACATTGATGTTTCTCTCTCTGAAAATAAACAATAAACACATCCTGGGGTGAAGATTCAAAAAAAAGAAAAAAGCCCGGCTGGTGTGGCTCAGTGGTTGAGCTTCAACACATTCACTAAGAGGTCGCCGGTTCAACTCCCAGTCAGGGCACATGCCCAGGTTGTGGACCAAATCCCTAGTGGGGGGCATGCAGGAGGCAGCCAGTCGATGTTCTCTCTCATCAATGTTTCTCTCTTCTCTCCCTCTTCTTTCCTCTCTCTCTAAAAATCAATAAAGATAAAAAATGTAAACATGAATGTTAATAACAATTTGCCACATTATTATTTATGTCATATAAAATTTGCACATTAAATTGCATTCTTTATAAAAGTATTTTGATTTTTATAAGGTTCTTTTTCCCCACTGAACAAATATCAATTGTCTTTTAGGCCTATCGGTTTTTACCTTTTTCTTTTCACATATTTGAGCATCTCTAGTAAAAAGAGAATGATTATAGCTATTTTAATAATCTGGCATATTTTTATTTATGTATTTTTAATTTTTTTTCTTTGTTGCTTTTAGATAGAGAGGAAAGGAGAAAGGGAGAGAAATATCAATGAGGGAGAACATCGATTGGCTGCCTCCTGCATGCCTCGCACTGGGGATCGAGCCCACAACCTGGGCATGTGCCCTGACTGGGAATTGAACCCATAACCTCTTGGTGCATGGGTCAACACTCAACCACTGAGCCACAGCAGCCGGGCGTCTGACATAGTTTTAATATCAGTATAACTTTCGCATCGTATTTCTTGCCTAGGAAGGAACTTCGATAGAGAGACAGTACGAGACAGCTCGGCAGGCCCTGATGGGAAAGATACCTCCTCATCACACTCTCCTGTTTCAGAGGTAGTGGTTTAGCACGTTTATTTACACCCAAGCATCTTTAGATTGACTTTCTAGTATCCAGAGATAACAAAGGTATCCTAAGTCATCAACATGAACCTAGTGATTCAGAATAAAAAGGCCATTTGAATTTGTCTTATACTATAGTTCTATTTATTATCTGTAATGTTAAGCTATCTGTTGAAAACTTTTAACCAATATAAATAATAAGTTTTGTCTATGTGTGTGCTCTGTATGAAAAAAATGTGATGAATTTTCTCTATATTGGTAGGCCGTCTTTGGATAGTCTGATTCTAAGACAGGCTGTGTGGTATATATGAAGTTCTACGGGGAGGTCAGAGGGTGGTGGCCAGATGACAGGCAATGATCCCCAGAGCAGTAAGGCTGGGGCCTGTGTGACCTCTGTCGAGCAGAGTGGCCATGCCTGTTAAAACACGGGAGACAAAGAAACTAAGCAGTTTTAAATATGAGCTCCAAATGGGTCATGCTGGGACAGATAGATGCTTTGAATTTGCATGCATTGATATGCATTGGGGCTGCTGCGCACACAGCAACTCTATTTAACAAGTCTGGGGTGAATAGCAGTAGGATTTGTTCCCTAAAAAGTGGTTAATGATTCTTTCAACTCACTCTGGGGAAACAGACTAGTTTAGATGAAAAAAAGCATATTTTATATTAAATGTCAGTTGAGAGTATAATATTAAAATTTTTAGCAATATTTTATTCTGGTATTATTTCAGAGCATTAGATTATAAAAATAATGGAAAATATCTATTTAATTGCTTTTTAAAAATATGTTTTTATTTATTTTAGAGAGAGAGGAAGGGAGAGAGAGAAACATCGATTGGCTGCCTCCTGCACGCCCCCCACTGGGGATCAAGCATGCAATCCAGGCATGTGCCCTGACCCAGAATCCAACAGGGACCTCTCAGTCCATGGGACAGTGCTCAGTCCACTGAGCCACACTGGCTGGACCTCCCATAACTAATGGACTAGGATTGACAATAAAATATATACTGATCAGTAGGAAGATAATTTGTCTATATTAATGGTTTAATGGATCAGGAATATTTACAACATTACAAATTTGCTTAATCTACAAATGAGAATGTAATAATGCCAGCTCAGGTGAAGGTTTATGAGTGGATTTTATTGACCTTTGCACTTACGTGGAATATAACAGTCAGTATTTAGGTGTTACACATGGGTATGCTTGGCATCATTACAAAAATTCTTTGGATTTTTTTGTTATTTCTCATTTCAGGGGTTCAGTACCAGCACCCAACTACAGCACACATCGTTTCTCAGTTGTAGACCTACAGAAAACGTTTGAGGTTTGTGAAGATGCTTTTAAAACTCCCATTGAAACATATCCTGAGGAGAGGTGAGCTGAGTTTCATTGCATGGAATCAGTTATTTTCTACTGGTCAGTTAGTATCACGGCACCCATCCCTAGGCTTCCGGCTCCCTACACCTGGGAAGCAGGGCCCGCCTCCCGCTGGGGCTTTGAAGGGAGTAGGTGCTGGCCCTCTGGGGAGGGCGCAGGCATAGAACCTAGGTTCGTACAGTTGGAAGCATCTCTCTGGGACTCTTGTGTCTTGAGGGAGTGACAGAAAGATGCAGGGGCAGTTAGAGGTCGTTCAAGTCACCAGTGGTAGAAGAATCAGGAACCCACTGGGAAGTACAACTAATAATGTCTACCAGTTTCTTCCCATATCACGACTCAGCTGTGTTTTGGTACCTAGCTTACCTTGGTTCCTGCCTCATTGTTAAGCCTGGTTTTCTAGTTTTCCATTAAGTCTATAAACTACCCACTAGCTTTTCATTAACTCTCTTTTCAGTATTCAAGTTAGCCAGAGTTGGTGTCTGTGATTTGCAGTCAACATCTCTGATTAGCACGATGCTATATTTCAAAATGTTTACCAGCTGATGTCCAATACAAAATGTCATTTCACGGTTCCAATGCTTAACATGCCCAAGCGTGGTTCACAGCCTGACTGTGTCTAGGTTGAGGACTCCACACAGACCACAGCAGACCCTCTGCTAGGGCTCGGCCTTTGTGGGTGTTCTCCTGCACTCGGTCTCTGTCCAGCTGGACCTGCCGCAGCTGGTCTCTCCCCGGGACTTGAATCCAGACCTCCCGAGCCAAGGTCTGGCTGCTTGAGTCTATCACCATCTACTGTGGGTGTCACTGTTGGGTGGAGATCTCTAGCCAGGGCCCTGGTAGGTAGCGGGCTGGTTTGGAGATCGATGGCCCCCGTGTCAGGCCCCCACCCTCTGTGCCGTCACCTGCAGCACAGCAGTGGAGGGGCCGAGGGGAGAGTCCGTGGAAGGCGTCCGTGGCTTTGGCAGTCTCTCTGGCGTGTCTGAGTGCAGAGTGACACACTAGACAAGAAGCGTGACTGGGAGGAAGGACACTAGGAGATTAACAGTGGCTACTCTAGATTTGTAGTCATTTTTATTTTCTCTTTATCTCTTTTTTGTAACTTCTAAATTGTCTACACAGGATATATATATATTTTTTATTTTTACATATCCTGAAAAACTATTAAAATTTTGTGAGAATTTGATGAACTATTCAAAAAAAATGGGAAAAATCTGCCCGTTAGACACAATTAGGTTTCTCAGAGCACTCTGTATGTGTTAAAATGTTTAGATAAATTATAAAGAGTGAAATGCAAATCAGTGCCTATAATATAAAGATAAGTGTTAAAAGTCAGATGCAAATGTATCTCCTGCATAAAGTAGGTCTAAAAATATGTCTGTGTATGGATAGAAAAAAATAGCGCCGGAGAGAAATAACACCAAAATGTTACCAGTTACTGTCCTTCAGTGATGGGATTATTGCCAATCGAAAAGTTCTTTGTTCTTTGTTTTCAACAATTAGCATTTCATAATTTTCAAAGTAGTGATCTAAATTTAAAAAGTGATGCCAAAAGCCACACCAAAGGGGTATTTTGATGGTGGCGATGCGTCAGAAGGGGAACGGCCATTTGAAAACGAGGAATGCTGTCCTTCGTTTCTGCCTTTTACTGTTGTAACACTTTGGGTTTCCCTCAGTAATGTGATGATGAAAAACAACTGTCACTTCTAAATGGTCCGCCCCAGCCTGCACATTGCACTAGATACAAGAGACTAGGGCCTTATGACGGGCTAATTAGCTCTCTGTGCCAGTGCTGAAACTGCGGGTCTCTGAGGATTTATTTAAGCTCTGAACCTTTAGTACAGTTTAGTAAGGTGGGTGGGTGGGAATACAGTGGGGAAGGGGATGTCTTCGTTATGGCTGCCGTAACGAATTACCGTAGGTGGAGAGGCGTAACGAACAGTTATTTCTGACGGCTCTGGAGGCTGAGAAGTCTGACATCGGTGTCGGCATGTCAGGTTCTGGTCTGCAGATGGCTGTGTCCCCACGTGGTGGGAAAACAAGAGAAGGAAGCAAGCTGCCTTGTGTGTCTTCTTTTAAGGGCACTAATCCTATCCATGAGGGCTTCACCTCCTGACCTAGTCACCTCCCAAAGGCCCCACCTTCTTACCTGTCACATCGGGGGTTAGGATTTCAACATATGGGTTTGGGGGAGGAAACACGACATTCGGTCCACAACAGAAGGAAAACAAGAATGCCCAATGGGCTGCAGTGGGCTATACGTCATGTTTCCACGGTGGAAAGGGTGGGGCGGACCTGTCACTCAAGTCTGACCCTGCCCATGCGGTGGTAATGTGTCTTTCAACTCCACCACCTTTGACTTCTGACTTTCTTTGAAAGCATTTTCATGTAATACTTTCTCCAATCCAAAGAAAAAGTAATTATTGAAAGGCAGGCTTATTCTGTGATTCTTTCTTGGTATGTGTTTTAAAGGAAGAGGTATTCTTTTCCAAAAATAAGACACAAGACATGTGTGTTACAGGTTGAATTGTGTTTCTCCAAAATTCACATGTTGGGGTTCTAACCTCCAGTACCTAAGAATGTGGCCTTATTTGGAAATAGGATCATTGCAGGTGTGGTTAGTTAGGATGAGGTCATACTGGAGTAGGGGAACACCTGATTTAATATGATCGGTGTCCATATACAATGGGGAAATTTGGATACAGACACGTATGCACAGGGAGAGAGCTAGGGGTGATGCAGAAGCCAAGGAGCGTTGAAGGTCGCAGGAAACTACCAGAAGCTGGGGAGAGAGCTGCAACAGACTCCCCATCACAGCCCTCAGAAAGAAGCAGCCCTACTGACACTGATCCCAGACTGTCAGACCCCAGAACGGAGACAATAAATTTCAACCACTCCACTTACAGTACTTTGTTATGGCAATCTTAGAAAACGAATACCATATGTATTAATAGAAATCCACTGAGTTGTTTTGTGGGGTTTTTTTGCTATGTTTTTTCTGTGTCCCCCTCAACATACTGCATTTATATCACTAGAGATTTGGCCATAAAATCTATGGATTATTGTGTTGTTCATCAAAAAGGGAAGACTACCTTTGTGGGTTGGAATAAAAGATCCAGCACCTATAACGTAAATGCATCTAAGACTGTGTTTAGGGGGAAAGACTCAGTCTACTTATACTTCTAGGGAGAAGACCCTGGATGAGTTAATAATGGCAGTTTCCACTGCCAGGGGTACAGGAGAGTTGTTCAGTCACGGGAAAATCCAGGTGTGGGCAGTCCTGGACAAGCTCAGTAACTCTCCGTGGGAACAAAGTCTTCTAGGAGATGGTGTCCTACCTGAAGGGGGCTGCCATTCTGTGAGAGGTTCCAAAGGCTGTTGTCTAGCGAAAAGAAGACGGACCCAAGAACTCAGTCCAAGAGCGACCCCCTCCATCAAGCAAGCCATTCGACTTCTCTATCCAGGCAAACTTTCTAAGCAGAACCCCTAGGTGCAGGGAGGTTGTCCCAGTGTAGAACAAGATGGCACCTGTCCATCCCTGGATGGGAATCTTGGTGCCATCCTCCCCTTGCTATAGCTGACAGGAAGCTGGGGGCCAGCAGGGCCGGTGTCCGTGCTCAGCTAGGTGGGCGCTGGTCCTGGACTCCAGCCGTGAACCATCTCAGTGCTGCAGCCTCCGCTTGCCATTCAGACACGACCAGTGTGCTTGGGCCCCATTGGGCGCGTCACCCTCAGTGTGCACATGTCACACGCTACATTTCCCCCGGGTCAAGGACAGGCCAGACAGCTAACTGGACTGTGCTTGCAGCGATAACGCCCCTGAGGCCCCAAGACACCACATTAAGATTTGCTTCTGAGACTTCCAGTCAGGATGGCGGGTAGGTAACGCGGTGTCTGTCCTCCCACAACCACATCACAGTTACAGCTACACTACAGAACAACCATCATTCAGAACCACCTGAAATCAAGCTGAATGAAGTCCTACAACTACGGAATTAAAGCAGCAGCCACATCCAGACTGGTAGGAGGGCGGAGGGGACGGGCTGGTCCCACACCCACGTGTGGCGGATAAAAATCAGGAGGGACACCTCGGCTGGGAAGGCCCTTCCTGAGGACTGAGGGGTCCCCGTCCCACACCAGGCACCCCGCTCAGGGTTCCAGTGCCAGGAAGAGAATCCCCATCACTTCTGGCTGGAAAAACAGCAGGAACTGAGGCTCAGGGAGGCTGAGGCGGCTGGAGCCCCAGGCAGCTCCTTAAAGGGCCCGCGCACGGACTTATCGGACTCTCTCCCTCTGAGCTTGGAGGGAGGCAGCTCGAGGGGCACCAGAGACATACAGGGAAGAACTGAGCTGTTTGGCACTGGAGCCAGGGCTGGAGAGGGGACTTTCTCCGGGACAAACGTGCTGTCAGAGGCCTCTGTTCCTTTGGTGAGCCCTTCCCTGGGGCAGCAGACAGTCGCCATATCTGGGCCTCCAGCAACCTGGCTCACACTGGTAGCCCCACCCTGCTGACTCCCTGAGGCCCCGCCCCACCCAACTTTCAGGCCCCCCCAAGCTGTTGCCACTTGCTTAACCATAGGATTGGCCTGTCTTGGATCCTGCTTCAGGTTTTTCCTAAATTCTTTCAAACAAGCAGCATCTGGTCTCAGATAGCTCCATACCTCTCCTTAAGTAATACATAGAAACAAACACAGGGAGGCAGCCAAAATGAGGAGACAAAGAAACAGGTCCCAGATGAAAGTACAGTAAAAAATGTCCAGGAAAAGAACTAAGGGAAATGGAGATAAGCAACCTAACAGATGCTGAGTTCAAAATACTGCTTATAAGGATGCTCAATGAACTTAGTGAGAACCTCAGCAAAATTGGTGAGGGCCTCAAGAGCATAAAAAAGGACCAGTCAGAAATGAAGGATGCACAGTCAGAAATGAAGGAGGCACTAACTGAAATAAAGAATAATTTACGCAGATTCAATAGTAGAATAGGTAAAGCCAAGAAGCAACCATCAATTTGGAATCTAAGGAAGCAAAAAACACCCAATGAGATCAGCGAAAAGAAAAAAGAATCCAAAAAAATGAGGAGAGTGTAAGGAGCCTTTGGGACAACTTCAAGCGTGCCAACATTGGCATCTTGGGGGGTGCCAGAAGGAGAAGAGAGAGAACAAGAAATCGAAAACCTATTTGAAACAATAATGGCAGAAAACTTCCCTAACTTGGTGAAGGAAACAGACATACAAGTCCAGGAAGCACAGAGAGTCCCAAACAAGATGAACCCCAAGAGGCCCACACCAAGACACATCATCAAGACAAAAAGAGAATCTTAAAAGCAGCAAGAGAAAAGCAGTTAGTTACCTAAAGGGAGTTCCCATAAGACTGTCAGCTGATTTCTCAAAAGAAACTTTGCAGGTCAGAAGGGAGTGGCAAGAAATATTCAGAGTGATGAAAAGCAAGAACCTACAACCAAGATTACTCTATCCTGCAAAGCTGTTATTTAGAATCGATGGCCATGTAAAGACTTTCCCAGACAAGTAAAAGTTAAAGGAGTTCATCACCACCACTGTTATTATATGAAATGTTGAAGGGTCTTTTCGAAGAAAAAGATAAAATATATGAACAAACAAAATGGCAATGAATACATATCTATCAACAATGGAATCTACAAACAAAATGAACAGGTAGAACAGAAACATTCTCATACATACAGAGAACATGTTGTTGGTTGCCAGATTGGTGGGGGGTTGGGGAAATGGGGGGAAAAGGTGAAGGATTAAGAAGTACAAATTGGTTGCTAGACTGACAAACCTCAAAGGAAAGGGAGTTGGGGGGTGGGAAGAAATAAACCAAAGAACTTATAGCATAACCAATGGACACAGACAACAGTGTGGGAAAAGCAGGAGCGGGACGGGAGTGGGGAGGAGGGGGTCAATGGGGGGAAAATGAAGAACATCTGTAATACATTCAACAATAAAGATAAAAAAGAAAAAAAGACGTGCTTCTGCCTTTTCCTCTCAGCTGCAGTCGCAACGTCACCCTGGCTGACACAGACACCCTCGTTCAAATGACAGGCTTTATCTTGAACAGACTGCATTTGCATCAGCCTTTGCTACTGCCAGACTTGAACTTACACGTGGAGTGTGAACAAGTGGAGGTCAACTTGAACTTGATCCTTGAAACACTTTTTTTCAGAGATGGGGATCATTACATGGAACTATGGAGAAGAAAGAATAATCACAGCCGGCTACCAGTCTCTGCAGTAAACAATTATCTATTCATTTTCAACATTTGATATTCATTGTTGGCTAAATCATGAAAAGGCATAACTATGAGGTCAAAACGTAGTATAATCCACACTGACAGTGAAAAGTAGAGCTAGCTCTAGGGACAAGGTTTAGGAGGTGGAGGTGGAAAGTCAATCTGTATAATCTGCTGCAGACGGAATGAGAAATGGAGAATTTAAATACGATGAACGAAGATGAAGACTGACAGAGGGAGGAATGAAAAGAGTGGAGAACTGTTCACGGGGAGGAAAAGTCGGGGAAGTTATTAAATGAGCTAAATCCTTCCCAGTCGTGGCAGAAACCCATATCTACCAAAGATGTGTCTAAAGCTGATACATCAATAAATGTCAGTAGCATATCATTTAGAAATCAGAAGATTGCTGTCAGGACATCGAAAACCGATGTGGTTAAAAATGACTGACTCATTTGACCCAGTGACCCTACTTCTAGGAATATAACCTAAGGAGCCTGAAACACCAACCAGAAAGAATATGTGTATTCCTATGTTCATGGCAGCACTGTTTACAATCACTAATATCTGGAAACAGCCCAAGTGTCCATCAATAGATGAGTAGATAAAAAAAGCTGTGGTACATTTACACAATGGAGTACTATGCAGCCGTAAGAAAGAAAGGTCTCTCATCCTTTAAGACGACATGGAGGGACCTGGAGAGTGTTATCCTAAGCGAAACAAGTCAGTCAGAGAAAGACAAATATCATATGATCTCACTTATTTCTGGAACATAATGAACAAAACAAACTGATGAACAAAATAGACCCAGAGACATAGAAGTAGGGTACAGACTGACAATCCTCAGAAGAGGGGTCGGGGCGGGGGAAGATAAACCACAGAACTGATATGCATGTATGTGTAACCAGTGGACTTAGACAACAATGCTGAGGACGGGGTGGGGTGGGGGGATTGGAAGGAGGGTGTCAATGGGGGGAAAGGAGAAACATCTGTAACAAAAATAAATTAATACAAATAATTTTTTTAAAAATGACTGGCTCTCAGGAGAGTGAAATTGGGGTGATTATTGCTTTTTATTATAAGCCCTTCTGTATAATGTGACTTTGTTTTAACTACATTCGTATGATAGGTTGATTAAAGTGTTAATGAAATGTTTTTGGAGAAATGAGAAAAGTCACAGAAGAAAAGATGACTATATTTTGATATAAACATTTGAGTGTCTCTAGGTTCAAAATAAAATGAAAAAAAAAAACAGCATGTTCTTCAAAACACAACAAAAGAGTTGACATTCAGTACATAAAGATTTCACACACTGATGTGGAGAACACGACCGTCCTCACAGGATAAATGAGGAAAAGACATAAACAGTTCACAAAACGTGGGAGACAAGCTAATTAATAAACACAAGATGTGGTGCTCAGCCTTCCTGCGGACGAAGCTCAGCGACTCACAGTGTCCTCTGCGGGAAGAGCTCCAGAGGACAGCAGCCTGGTCGGGGGGTGCACTACCCCCCACAGGAACTTCAGACTCCCGGCTGAAATCAGAGTCCCCAAACTAGCATTAGAGATCCTCAATGTGTGGTCCGGATCAGGCCCCCTGACATGCTTTCATCTTCTCTCTCCTTGAAATAGCAGGGACCACTGTGTACAAATGGCACTTGATTCCGCAGCCCTAGAAATGAGGACAGTGCCTTGCCCCCTGTGTGTTATTCCGCAGCCCCCATCACCATGCCTGGCCCTTCGCATGTCTTCAGTTATGTTTTGTGCCGCGGATGAGACGTCCATGCTGATATGTACAGTACTGTCTAGGTCTTGCTACAGGTGCCAGAAAACTTGAGCCTACCAGGGTCTTGCGCGCAGACTACTGGCAGGACTTGGCAAAAGTAACCCAGTGAAGTCATTGGCGTAGGTTGCGTGGCCGTTAGTAGTTTTCCATCTAACCGATATCATTCATTTTTGGTTTCCAGCCAGGATTCCCATGCTACCATAAAACACTCTTCCTTGTTCCAGTCCTGTCCGTGGTTGAAAGAATTGCCTGTTGAGACATCAGAATCAGAAATAAGTGATGGCAACAGGTGTCCGTCCATGAAAGGTATGAGTCGTTTCACATCTGGTTCTCATATAAATCGTCATATTATAATTATGTGTATTTCTTCCTCTTGTTCTGACTATTACAGGTTTTTTAAACTAAATGAGTGCTTTAATTCAGAATCTCTCCTTGCAGGTAGGGTAGGTTATTTGTCTCTCATTGTCATAGATGAGAAAGCAAGTTCGGAAAGGTCAGGAACGTGCCCGAGGTCACATAGCTACTTAGTGTGAATGCTGCTGCTCTGCCCACCTGACCCCACTCCCTGCGGGGTCTTCTAGGGCCAGGGGCGCACGCTCTCTAGAGGACAGACGACTCGGGCTCCTCCTCCGACAAGCTGGGCTCCTCTGAGTGAAGGTGAAGAGAAACATGGATGGTTTCCGGTTGCTGGCCAATCTTGCTCTGGGAGAATCCTGATGGCTTTAGATTTGAAGGATCTGGCCCAGCCCTCCCCATCACCTGCACCCCCTTTTGGCCCATTGCTCCCCAAAACACATGTGAATGCACAGACAGGCGGTCATTGCATCTTTGTCTCTGGGCCCAGCGGCAATGTTCATAAATGACAGCGCGTCAAGACCTTGAGCCGTGTGGGGAGATGGAAGGGCTGGAGGGAAAGTGGGCAAAGGAGACAGTGACCCTGCTGGGACAGGAGCTGGGGCTCCGCGAGCAGTCACTGGGGAAGGCGCAGATTGGGGGGATTCCCTGGGACCCAGAGGCCGAAGGAGCCCCCATTAGTATCCCGAGGTGGGGGCGGGATGTTCTGCCTGAGCACAGGAGAGGCGGTGAGGATCCCGTCTGCTCAGGCGACCAGGGGAACCAGACACAGAATACAGACTCGTGAGGTGGCCGGGACACACGATGGCACCTCCAGAGGAAGGGGCTCCTGACACCGCCCTCTCCTGACCCACTGAAAGGCAGACTCCTCGCTGTAGCTTTATGAAGGAGAGCTGGCCAAGATAAGGTCTTTTCAGGGATTTTACTCCTGAAGGAGGGGATAAGCAATACGGATTAGAGGCCCAAGACCAAAATTCCAGGAAATAATCCCAAATTCTCAAGTAGGCGCTTTATATCATCTTACAGGAAGGGGAAGTATTCTAGGAACTCCTTAAGACTGTGACCTGGTCCTGCCGGTGTGGCTCAGTGGTTGAGCGTCGACCCCTGCACCAAGAGGTCACCAGTTCGATTCCCGGTCAGGGCACATGCCCAGGTTGTGGGCCCGATCCCCAGTGGGGGGCATGCAGGAGGCGGCCAATCAATGTTCTCTCTCATCCATGTTTCTATCTTTCTCTCTCTCTCTCAAATCAATAAGGGGGGGGGGGAGGAGACAATATTATATTAAAAAAAAAAAAGACTGTGACCTGCCATTCAAGCGCCTGAGGGGACCCAGGGGCCCTGGACCGATCATGGTGCTGGCTTCCCACTGGGCAGTGTGTCTAGACCTTTCTCACCTCATCTTCTCTCCTCTGCCTGTACCCTCTTTCCGAACAAAGTGGGGCTGCTACCTGTGGAGGGTACAGGGGAAAGATTGGATTAGGAGTCAGAAGACTTGGGTTCTAGCTCCATTTCGACTATGGACTGGCTGTCTACTGTTGGGCAAATCAGTTAATGTCTGAGAATGATAACATCTGCCCTACAGTAGCACAGTAATATCCTGTATTTTGTATATTACTGTAATACATATATATTATAATGCAACATATGATATAATAATATAGGACCAGACAAGGTGCCTATGGTATAGGAAGCAAAGTGCTAGATAGCTACTAGGTGTTATGATTGCAAATTTGTGTACACACAGCAGAGCTTGTATTTAGATGGTTTTCTTCAATGATGGTTTCTGGAGACTTACTCAGTTCCTGTGAATGGGCCGTGTTTCCTTGTTCTTAGTATGTCTTGTGATCTTCTGTTGAAAGTTGGTCATTTGAAAAAGCAGCCTCTTCTCCAAGCCCGTGGACCGGCTGTGTGCAAGGGAAGACTTGACCAGTTAGAGGGCCACGTGCCTGAGCCAGGGTCAGCCCAGCATGAAGGCTTCGGGTCTTGTCTGTCCTTTTCTGGACGTGCACTTTCCCTGGGCCTCCCCCCAATTCCTCAGTATGCACGACACTTTGTTTGTTTGTGGATATATCTTTATTGTTGAAAGTATTACAGATGTCCCTCCTTTTTCCCCCCATTGACATCCCCCTCCTCACTCCCCACCCCCACCCTCACCACATTGTTGTCTGTGTCCATTGGTTATGCCTACATGTATATAAGTTCTTTGAGTTTCTCTTTCCACCCCACCCCCACTCTCTACCCAGGTGCTTTTAAAAAATGTCCTCATTTCCCTAAGAGACTCCAGCTTTTTCTTGGAGCCTTAGCTGTTCTATTAGCTTCATCATTTAGTAATCTCTTGCCCCAGGCATCTTTGGGGTCTGTCGCCCCCTGGTGGTTTTCATGAGCCCTGTCCGCTGTTTCCTGTGGCTCCCTAGGCTGAGATTCTGCCTGGACCACTTTTGAACTCAGCTCAACCACACAGACACCAATCAGGCAGCCCCAGACGGGAGGGAATATTCCTCTACTCTCGGGTCCACTGGAGGGAACTGGGACCAGGCCTCCGTTCCTCTGAACTGTACTTCAGCCCACCAGGGGATGGGGGAGGCGAAGGTAAGTAAAACACCCTTTCTAATGCAGCTTTTTCTTGATTGGGCATTCACTTGGTTGCTGTAGGCCTTTGGCTGACGTTCAGAGTTCCTATCAAGTTCTTTTAGTTAGTCTCATGTTGTTCAATGTCTCCTTCGGGAGGGAGGGGGCTGGAGCTTCTGGTCCCTCCAGCTGATGTCCTTCCCTGGGGGCTCTCTGATCAATCGCATCACCCTGCTGGCTCAGTTCAAGTCATATCTTTTTCACGTGAACTGCCAAACCAGGTTTCTATCATACAATACATCTGTACTTAATTATTTTTACGTAAATGCAACTTCTATGTTCATCTTTTTTTTTTTTTTTTATCCTCACCTGAGGACATTTTTCCATTTTTTGTTCAGATAGAGTGGGAGGGAAAGAGAGGAAGAGAGAGAGAGAGAAACATCGACGTGAAAGGGACACATCGAGTGGCCTGCTTCCTGCACGACCAACCAGGGCCGGGGACAAACTGCAACCCAGGTACGTGCCCTTAGCGGGAGCCGAACCCGGGTCTCTCTGGACCACAGGCCGACGCTCTTACCGCTGAGCCAACCGGCCAAGGCATCATCTTTTTATCATTTTAATTTCAGCCCCACATTCCAGCTTGATTAGATCATTTGGGCTCTTGATTCGTCTTCCATATTTACTATTTATAAATTTCTACAAAGCCAGCAAGCATACCCCAAAGGCCTTTGTCAACACTAGGAGCCGGTGGCCCTGGCCCGGTAGCTCAGTTGGTTAGAGCATCATCCCAATATGCTAAGGCTGCAGGTTCGATCCTCACTCAGGGCACAGATAAGAGTCACCCAGTGAATGCATTAATAAGTGGAACAACGAATGGGTGTACACCCCCTCAAATCAATAAACAGGAATGTGAAAACAATAGGATCCAGGACTTGGCCGAGAGCATCCTGTGACAAGTCTCTAGAGACTCAGTCCCAGGGAAAGTCTACTTGGTATTCTGTTAGCGGCGCTGGGGTTCTTGGGTTTCCCATGGTAGAAAGCGAGAGGAAACCGCAGAGGGATTTCCAGACAGATTTGATCAGGTTTATGCTCGAGCACAGGGGAGGCAGCACCGAGGCCCCCTGAACCGGCTCCAGGGATTGGCTCTGCTTTCATAAGCTGGGGTCAGAGCGGACTTGCATGAAAAGATGTGCTTTTTGGAAATGGCAAGCTTGTGAAATTTTCCACGTCAGGGTAGGAACAGCAAGTGGTTAGAAGGGAGATAAAATTCTGCTTTTTTTTTTTAGCAAGCAGTGGAGGGGTGGTGACTTTCTTACTCAGCTTGTCCTTCTGGCCACCTGGTCTTAATTTGGCTTCTGCCCACCTGCTATTTTTTCCATTCCCAGGCCCAAGTCCCTAGACTGTCTCATTTTCCACTCCGATCTCTCTATTGCACTTACATGAGAGACTTTGCTATGTGCCTTGCCGAAATCAAGACACATTTTATCAGTGGTATTTAGTAACTCGGAGATCAGCGAGCTTTCTGTAAAGGGTCAGACAGTAAGTGCTGTTGGCTTCATGGGTCTCCTGGACCGTCGGCAATGACTGAACCCTACCATTGTAGCGTGAGCGCAGCGGGGACAGTATATAAATGAACAGGCGTGCGCTGGGCTCCATGATGCTCAGTTTACTAAAACTGGCTGCAGGCCACATTTAGCCTGTGGGCTATAGTGTTTTGACCCTTGCCATAGTAAAAGGGAAATTAAGTTAATCTGAAATCATTTTTCTTCACAAATCCTTTTCAACCCTGTCTCTCACTATAATATTTTCTAAACACACAAACCATTTATATAGTAAACTCAAGCTTGCTAAGGTTTAGAGTCAGGTATACTGGTTGGTAAATTGTTATTTGCATTTTTAAAGTGGCAATGTTGTCTCCAGTACTCTCTCTCTGTCGATGAATTCTCAAAGAACAGACCCCCTGAAATTGCTTCTGTAAGTTACTTCCACTTCCCGGGATGTAACCTGCCAGGGTGCACAAGTGGAGTGATTGAGAAAGAAGGCCCGTCTTTCCTCTCCTCTTCCTTCTTCAGGGCCTTTCTTCTCTAAAGACGCTTTTGTTACCCTTTCTAGTTTAAATTATTTTTCCTGTATTGATTTGAGAGAGAGAGGAAGGGAGAGGGAGAGAGAGAGAGAAACATCGATGAGAGAGAACATCCACTGACCGCCTCCTGCACGCCCCCACTGGGGATTGGGCCCACAGCCTGGGCATGTGTCCTGATCTAGAACTGAACTGGCGACCTCTCAGTACCTGGGTCGACGCTCAACCACTGAGCCACCCGGCTGGGCTACCCTTTCTAGTTCAAAAAATATCTTGATGGTGAAAAACAGAAGCAAACAAGGAGGCGCTTTTTCTTTTCTTTTCTCTGTTTTTGGTCCTCCGTTAACATGATATTATCTCTCAAGGAATGTGTCATTTTATCTAAAGATTGCTTTAAAAGGACCATTTGTGCCTTTAACATGTTGGATTGCTTCGGTTTGCCCAATGCATTGAGCCTCCTCCATTTTCCTCACTCCCGCTCAAGTCCTCTGCCTCGCTTTCTCGATCTCTGCTCCACAGCGTTCTCCCAGTGAGAATTCAGCTTCCTCTGTGGCCACCGCACATCAACCTCCCATGTCTATCATCCAGGCTCCCCCCCTTTGTTGATTTTAGAGAACAAGGAAGGGGGAGGGGAGAAAGAGAAGAAACCTCAATGAGAGAGAACATTGATTGGCCGCCTCCTGCACGCCCCCCACTAGGGATTTAACCCACAACCTGGGCATGTGTCCTCACCAGGAATTGAACCGGCAACCTCTTGGTGCATGGGTTGACGCTCAACCACTGAGCCACACCAGCTAGGCTAAGCTCCTCTTGCTTAAAACAGTTCTCAAAGGAACCTAGCCCCATGGTCCATCCTTGGTGTCTTCATCTCTGATGAACAGAGCAATCTTAGAGGGCACTAGATGAGGTTTCTCTAGGAAGGACTACAAGGTGTGTGTGTGTGTGCGCGCGCATGTGTGTGCACATGTCCGTGTGTGTGCATGTATGTGTGAGTGTGCATGACCATGTGTGTGTGTGTGTGTGCATGCCCATGTGTGTGCCTGTGCATGTGTGTACATGCATGTGTGCTAAGTCTACTTTCGCATGACTGAAAGAATATGGTGCAGGGGGAACAGCAACACTGAGCAGAGTGGAAGGGCAGCTGGGAACTGTGTGCTGTAGCAACTGACTGGTCCTCGTGCAAATCTGCACAGCCCGAGGTTTGTCCCACCTCGCACGTGACATACTTGCAACTCATTCCCTTGTTTTTCCTGTTTGGATGTCATTTATTCCTTCAAGTTTGTTATGGACTAATTCTAAATATTATTCCGAAGCATCGTGCCATGCTTATTTTCTTCGTCTAGTGTGGCAAGGGGTTAACTCTATGTACTGTCTCTTTTTCTCTTCATGTTTTACAGAACTACACAAATCGCCACTTCCGTATGAAAAGGGGACTCTCCAACACAGACGACACACGACGTTAGTCACCATTCGCCCAGGGTCCAACTCCAAACCCATCCTTCCTCCAATCCCCCAGGGCCACAAGTATAGTACGTGACCTTTGATCTTAACGTGGAAAACTGGCTCTGATCATGCCCAGATCCTCTGTCTGACCGGCCACAGATCCTGGCTGTTTCTCACACAGCCAATTACCTACAAAAGAATGTTCTGTATGCCTTAATTCTCTCAATCAGTTTCTTTTGTGATTCTCTGAATAGTGTTTCTTTTTTGATGTAAGTTATTCTTAGCTTTTAGAAACGTAATTTCAGTTTTCCCAGAGCTACTGATGATTTTTCAGCTGTTTCCTGCTCTGGAATAACAGGTGGCAGATCCCCTAGGGTCTCTGAGTTGCTATGTGCATAGTGACTTTTGTTTTGGGGTGTCCTTTTTGTGTTTGTTTTTCCTTTTTATTGACTGTATTGGGGTGACACTGGTTAACAAAATCAGACAGGTTTCAGATGCATAGTTCCACAACACATCACCTGAACACTGTATTGTGTGATCACCACCCCAAGTCAAGTTTCCTTCCATCACCCTTGATTGGCCCCTGTGATTTTGGGATGTATCCAGCTGGGATTGTGCTCTTGAAATTTCAGTGTCCATTTACAACATTAGTGTGTCCTCTAGGGAACTGAAATATTTCATTCTTCTGGTAATGGAAGGATTGGAGAGTTCCATTTAGCTGTGCCCAACATCCTACCAACTGCATCTCTCACAGGGAATTAATTACTGTAACTTTTCATGGTTCTTGACTAGCTTTAGCAATATGAAGGAATAAAAAGCATCAGATTTTTTTTTTTTTTCATTTCACCCTTTTCTGACTCTGATTATATACTTGCCAGTCATTGGAAATGTTTTAAACAACTTTTATCACCTTTGTGATTTCACTACTTGCTGTTTGCGGAGAGAAAAAAAATGTTGAGTAGTTCTGGGTAAGGCTGGAGTTCAGCTGATCCGTCACAGTGAGCGTCTCCTGGTTGTTCAGAGCACTGGGACACATCCCCCTGGACTGGTGACCGGTCCCTCTGGGACCCTGTGCAGAGGACTCCTGGGGACCAGAGACTTGTCAGCACTGTACCGATTGTTAGATGCTTTAAATATCAAAACCCTCTAATGACTTCACTTTTTAACATATCAAAACCCCCTTTAATAATTCCTTCTCCCCGCCCTGGCTGGTTTGGCTCAGCAGTTGAAGCGTAGGCCTGCAGACCAGAGAGTCCTGGGTTCAGTTCCTGCTAGGGGCACGTACAATAATAATAATAATAATAATAATAATAATAATAATTCCTTCTCCCCTGACTCAGATTTGGATGTAACATGATTTGCAGTGGTGTCTTCCACCACGCCCTGAGCTCAGCAGAAGCTGGTCAGAGTCCTTCCTCGGGTTGGTGGGAGGGAACAGGGGTGGGGGGGCAAGGGAATGGGGGTGAGGGGACGGGGTTGATGGGAGGGAATGGGGTGAGGGGTCGAGGGAATGGGGGTGAGGGGATGGGGTTGGGGGGAGGGAATGGGGGTGGGAGGGAACGGGGGTGTGGGGACGAGGGAATGGGGGTGAGGGGATGGGTTGGTGGGGGGACGAGGGAAGGGGTTGGTGGGAGGGAACGGGGGTGTGGGGACGAGGGAATGGGGGTGAGGGGACGGGTTGGTGGGGGGAGGGAATGGAGGTGAGGGGACGGGTTGGTGGGGGGAGGGAATGGGGTGGGGGGTTGGTGGGAGGGAATGGGGGTGTGGGGACGAGGGAATGGGGGTGAGGGGACGGGTTGGTGGGGGGAGGGAATGGGGGTGAGGGGACGGGTTGGTGGGAGGGAACGGGTGTGGGGGATGTGGGGAAGAAGGCAAGGCTGAGCAGGTAAAGGGAGGCAGTCCTCTCTGGAAAAGTGGGCAGGCAGACAGTGGGTCCCTGTGCCCTCAAAATTTTAAAGAATTGTTGAAGTTTCCCCAGCAGTATCTGCTCTTTTACGAAGTCACTGTGAAATACTGAGGCGCACGGGAAGGTATGAAAATGACAGTTACAGACAACGTGAGGGGGCACACTTTCCCGTTTCTCCCACTAAGTGCCACTAAAATCCTAGAATTGGGTCTAAAGCAAACACACGAAGACTGAGAGGTGAAAGGGGGAAGAGAGACCAGCTGGGGCCCCCAGGACTGAGCGGCGGCAGGGGGCTGAGTTCCCTGGTTTTCCTTCTTGCCGTGAGGACCCTGAACTGGGTGCTGGAGGAGCCACCACCCCAACACCAGCAGTGTAGAGAGCAGCGTCCAGCAGAAAGCCTGCCATTGAACTGGGTGCTGGAGGAGCCACCACCCCAACACCAGCAGTGCAGAGAGCAGCGTCCAGCAGAAAGCCGGCCGTCGCCTGCTCCAGGACGAGGTGGGGCAGCCAGCGGCCAGGGAGCTTCAGACAGGAACGGACTGCTTCGGGCAAGCACCGTGGTGGCTGTAGCAACGTCCTCCGTCCTGCCTCCGGGAGAGCGGCACAGAAACTCCCACGGAGAGCAGAGCTGTAACCACTCACTGCTAACGAGAAGTCCCTCCCACAGGGTCCTCGAAGGCCACGTCGGGCCTGGACTTCCATCCCCACCTGGCAGTATGAGGCGCCCCCGCCCCTTCCCATCGGCGGAAGGGCTGTGCAGGGCCAGGACTTGCACCACTGACCCGACCCCTTGCAGTGCTGGGGGCCGTGTGGGGAACAGTGAGGAGTGTCCCTTTCCCTCCAGCCAGGGTGGTCTCTGTGGTGGCCTAGTGGGGACTCTCAACTTCCACACTCACCCAGCATTAATAGAGGATCATTTCCACCTTTCCCACCTACGTGTCCTAATCAGCCAGGATATGGGAGAGCTACATCATCATCAGCCAGTAGGATTTCATTGACATTTATAGAGCGTTCCACCCAATGACACCCAGTAAACATCCTTTTCAAGTTCTCCTGGAACGTTGATCAGGATAGACCATATCCTGGGCCATTCAGACAAAACAAAACACAAAAAACTTAACAAATTTAAAAGAGTTGAAATCATACAAAGTTTGTTCCCTGACCACAGTGAAATCAATCTAGAAGTTAATGGAAAGATAACAGGAAAATCTCTAAGCATCTGTAAACAAAACAATACTCTCCTAAGTAATCCATGGCTCTATGAAGAATCCTCAAGGGAACTAAAGGAATATAACAAATTAAACAAACAAACAAAAACACACACCCCACACACGGAAATACACCATGTCAGAATTTGTGGGATGCAGCTAAAGCCAGGCTGAGAAGCAAATGGATGGCACCAAATGTATACATTAGAAGAGAGGGATCCTAGATCTATCAGCTCCTACCTCAAGTATCTAGAAAAAGAGCAAGATAAACCCAAAACAAGCAGAAGGAAGTAATACTAGCAGAATAAGTAAAAATAAAAACAAAAATATTAGAGAATAATTGATAAAACCAAAAGCTAGTTCTTTGAAAAGATTAATAAAATTGACAACATCTCTTCGGTGAAACTAAGAGAGAAAAAAAGACACAATTACCAATATTAGAAATGAAGCAAAGGATGACACTACGGACTCTGCAGACGTCAAAAAAGATGAGAGAATACTACAAACAACGTGACATACATAAATTTAGCAACTTAGATGAAATGGACCAATTCCTCAGAAACACATATGACTTACCCACTATCGGATAGGTAATTTGAATAACTTTATAAATATATTAAAGAAATTGAAGAATTAAATTGAATTAAAGAATTCATAATTGAATTATGAAAAAGAAATCTCCAGGCCCAGATGCTTTCACTGGAGAACTCTACCAAATGTTTACAGAATTCACTCCAGTTCTCTGCAGTCTCTTCCAGAAAATAGCAAGACAAGGAATACTTCCCAACTTATTTCAGGAGACCCCTATTACCCTGACACCAAAATCAGACAGTCAGTCTGAAGAAAGAAAACTACAGAGAAATATCATTCATGAATATAGATGAAAAAATCCTTAACAAAATACAAGCAAAACTCAGCAACACATGAATTATACACCATGACTAGGTGGAGGTTAGCCTAGGAATGCAAGGTTGGTTCAAATGTTTAAATCAACCAACGTTGTCCACCACAATAATAGGCTAACCAAGAAAAATCGATCACATCAACTGATGCGAAAAAAGCATTTGACAAAGACCAACATCTATTCATGACAAAAGTGTAGGACTAGCGGATACCTTCCTCACTTTGATAAAGACTTCTATGAATATGTCTTTATTCCTAAGCAATATATACTTTTATTCACTATGATTTTAAACTTCACATTATACAAGGTGCTCCTTGACTTATGATGGGGTTACATCCTGATAAACCCATTTTAAGTTGAAAATATTGTAAGATGAAAATGCTTTTAATATCCCTAACCTACTGAACATCATAACTGAGCCCAGCCAGTGTCCACTGAATGGACATCACTGTGGCACCGTCATGAAATTGATAAATTGTAAGTTGAATCATCAAGTGGGGACTTTCTCTACTGTGTATATTCAGCAATTAACTTTTTTCTTAACATTATGTTTGTGGGATTAATCCATGTAGATTGTGTTGTTTTAGTTTTAATTTGTCCTTGCTGTATAATATTCCAGTATAAGACTATACAATAATTTATTCACTTTCCTGTTGATGAATGTTAAATTTGTTTCCAGTTTTTTGTTTGTTTGTTTGCTATTACAAAGGATGCAGCTAATATATTCTTGTCTAGAAGTTGAATTGCTGTGTTTTAGGTATACAGATGTCAACTTCACCAGATGTTGCTTCACTGGTTACTCTAATATGCCCTCACCAACATGTGAGTTTCCATGTTTCCACATCTTCACCAACAAGCGGAATTGCAGGCATTTTAGTGCCAACCCAATGGTTGTTAATGTAAACTCATTGTAGTGTTTAATTTGAGTTTCTCTAATGACTAGTAAAGTTGAACATTTTTTTATAAGATTATTGGCAATTTATAGCTTCTCTTCTATGAATTCCCTCTTTTTAACTAGTTTTTAAGTTAAATTGTTTTTATATCAATTTGCAGTATTATTTACATATTCTGGTTAT